ATGAGCAGGATCCGGGACTTGAATTTCCTCATCGATCGTCTTCAAGAGATCCTGAAAATGTTTGAGTTTTCTGTTTATTGTACCATGGAAAGTTGCAGTTCCCCTCCCATTCCCATCTCATAACTTCTCACTTGCATCTCTGTGTCGAAAATTCGAAAATGTGGAAGAAATTTCTCAGCAATGTGCTCAAGTTTTTGAAGATTTTTTCTGAAAAGAAAATGGCTAATGAATCAATTTTACACTCACGTAAGTTTCTCTTGTCGATCCAAGGCTTCAGAGAGCTCTGAGTTGTCAAAATGATCCAAATGCAATGACATTTTCTGAAAGCAAATCTTTGGTTTTTCTATATTTTTAAAAAGCAATTCATCTACTAACCTCTTTAAAAGCTTCAATATCCCTTAAAAGTTTTCCATATTTCTCTCGGAAAATCCCCTCATGATCATCGATTTGGGGAAGCGAATTCTTTTGGAGATCATCGCGAATCTTTTCAATCTGAAACTTGTGCTTACTTTTTATTTTTCTCCTTCAGTACCCGTCGCATCGAGTATAAGATTGTTTCGCAGTTTTGGTGCTGACTGCGGCTGCAAGACTCGCAGATCTAAAGCTTACTACATCTCAACTGACTATGAACCTAAAACTTTCAAACCTTTTCCTGGCAGTCTTTGCAGTAGAACAGTTCATTGATCGGCTTCTAGACGGTCACTTTTTATTTCATTAGCTTCATTTACCCAACCTCTGTCTGGCATTTATAGCACTTCTTTGTTGCGTTCAATTTCAACTCCTTGAGCATCTCAGGCAACTCTCGGAGAAAATCTAAAAATAAACTGTAGATTTTTTGAAATTAAAATATCTAGGAGTAACAATTTCCAAAAAGCTTTTAAAAGAACCACTGACTATGAGCTACAGCGAAGGGAGGGCTAACTTTGACTTTCTACCTTGTAGTTGATTTTTCCTCGATTTCATCGCATGTCGCCGATCATCCTTACAAATTGGACACACTACATGCCATGGGAATTCCGGGTCATTCGATGAGGTGCTCAACTCCAGGAAACAACGATTGCAAACAGCGTGTCGACAACACAAATCATACGGTTTTCGTTGCTCCAAATCAATTACATCTAGAAAAAATGAAAATAATTGGTTTTGTTTTTTTTCTTGCAACGAACACTCTTCTCGGCACACTGGGCATTCGGGAGTTTTCATAGCCTGAAATTAGACCATTTTTTGAAGAACTTCCCCATCTTTGCCCATTTTCTAGCATCAATAATGTTTTTCTTATTTCAATTTTTAAATATTTATAACATTTAAAGCTTTTAATTTCTATTTTAAATACTACCTTTGAAAGTAAATAACCAGCTTCATTTTGAGCTGTAACAATCGATGGATGATCGAGAATCTCTGAAGTTTAAACGTCAAAGATTTTTTCCATATTTACCCAATAAATAATAGACGGGCACATCGAAATTAAAGCACTCCCATTGATAGGAACATTTATGTGTTCGATTTGCTTTTTCAATCGGTTCCTCGATATCCCAGCACAGCTTACAAACGGCCACTCCACAGCTCAAATGACGAGGACTTTTCGGGTCGGAGACAGAGTTTGAAACTGAACTATCAACTGAACTACAGATAACTCTCGATAATGTGGAACCGAAAAACTTGTCCATGGTACAGAATTTTCCATATAGTTAGACAGATGGATTCTAATGAAAAATTTGTTTTTGGGACCAAATTTCGATTTCACATTATAGAGTTCTACATTATCTAGAGTCGATTGTATATCTAATCATTAGAAGCTTAAAGGGGGGGGGGTATTAATTGCGGCCGGGTGACCATAAAAATTCTTTTAAGGCAACCACCTGTTTTTGTATTTTAATATTGCTAATTTTATTATAAATGGAATAAAAATCACCCGGCTAGAGTGATTTTATGGGTTTACAAATTTTTGGAGACGTTGCAAGGCTCGCGTAGTTCACCTACAAGGTAAGTGCGAAAGCAAAGCAAAAGTCGCGCACCATGTTTTCTTTTTGTTTTCTCTAGACTTCTATATTTCTGGTTTTTAAAACCTCTAGATGCCTTTTTCCAGATGGAGATTTTATGTTTAGATAATGCAAAAGACACAAAAGACCATCAAAACACCCTAAGCGACCTCGATTGCTTTTTTAAGTTCTTTTTATGGTCTTCCGGCCGCGATTAATAGCCCCCCCCCCCCCCTCCTTTAATAGAAATAAAAGCAAAAGTCATCTTTACTTTTATCCAAACTTACATGGTTTCTTGCACAGGGAACAGTTTAGCGAGTGAAAAATTCGTGACAGGCTTTCCATTTTGGCGAATAGGGAAGTGAAAAAAGAAAAATCCGTAATAAAATAAAGGATTTCTTGGAAAGATACGAGAAAAATCGAGGTTCTTTTTCCATAAAGAGAAAACGAACCGGTCCAGCCCTTTCAAAAGTGCTTTTGCTTAAGCTTAAGAAAGAAAATTAATGAGCAATGGAAAATTAAGTTTTATGTTAAAAATCATTCGTCTAAACACTTATTCTACTTTTTGAAAAGTTTTGAAATTGTTTTTCGATTCAGCCAATTCGAAATAGCGAACTGAATGAGATGTCGTGTGTGTTTTCCGTTTTGCTTTTATCATTCATCACTTTCAAAACAAACAAATAAACAAATTAGATATTCTAGTTTTTGTCTTTTTGCACCCGAGAACAATCACAATGATGGCCAAGAAAAGGAAACCGATTTCGATGAAGGAAATTGTGGAAATTCCCATCAAGACACCCAACAGACCACCGAGATTTCCGATGAATGAGTTGAACTGAAAGGGTTTACAGAACTAAAAATACTTCCAACTAACATTTTAGTCATCAAAATGTATTTGATTAAATAGATTTTAAACTGTTTTCATTAGAACTCATTGATTCTTAGCCTGTAATATTTCAGATTCTTAGAGCTTCATCTTAACCTCATTAACTCAATCTATTGGGTTGAGACATGAAATCGACCGCCCTTTTCAAATAAGCATTTTGAAAAGACTAACTTATGGTTTGTTTAAAACAATGTTTATATTCTGTTTTAACATCATTTTAAACAAATCTAGGCCTAATTTGAACAAACTTTAGAAAAAAAAGCTTGATTTTTCACAAAATCAGTTTTGGTAATAGACCTAACTTGTTGTGTTCTATCTTTTTTCCATTGACACCAAAATGGGTTTCTTGGGAGGAAAGTGTTCTAATCGCTCATCGTATTGTCGTCATTTCTGACCACTCAGCTTCTTGTTTCCCAGATAAACCTGCAAAACTAAGATCTTTCCAAACATTAAAGTCATTTTGCAGAGGAAAAATAGTTCTTTCTAAAAAAACAAACTATAATTTAATTGGTGAATTAGTCTGTGCAAAAAGCTCATTCAAAAAAGGCGGTCCATTTCATGCGACTCAACCCAATAGCATGTCAGATTCTTAGGACTTCATCTTAACTCAATCAATATCTTACCGACATCACCGGCACCTCTTCAAACAATTGAAAGCCGAAATCAGGCAAGAGAACCCGAACACGAACGGTGTCCTGTAGATGATAACTTTGAACGAATGCCGTTTTAGTGAACCTTATACGTAGAGATACAGGCGCTCGTATTGAATGTCGGATCAACAACGGCACATTGGGGCTTCTGAAAGTCGATCATAGGAAATGATTCTTAAACAAACAGTTCTTAACACACCTTTGCCGTGAATACAGATTTAGTCCAAGAAACAGTGTAGGCACGATTTGCACAAGGCAATGGACAGACACAATCTTTCCATTTTGATGGATCACCCCTCTCGGCCACTAGATCTTCCACGCATTTTCCTGAAAGTTTAATTTAAATTTTTTGGTAGTTACTGTATTAAATTTTGCATGACAAGTCAAAATTAGCCGCCATTTTTTTGGTAGAACAAACTTTTCTCCAATGGACACGGTTTAGCGGTTTTATCCATCGGATATCGTGGGTCCATACAACTACAGCTGACTAAAACAGCTTGTTGATAGCATGAACGAAGGCAACCCTGTAAAAAATAGTCTTTTAGTATGTCTGAGTTAATTTGGTAAATCTATCGGGTTGTCTGTCTGAGCGTGTTGAACTCACATCGGTTGCATATGAGCCCGAGTAGAAGTACTGTTTCACTTGACTCGTTTCAGTTACACATCGACCATATCGGCCACCCAGCCGTTGATAAGCTGTCTGAAAAGGGGAAAAGTATCAATAATTACAACTTAGCTACATCAAATATAGTCTTAATTTAACTTAAATGTAGCACTGTATGTAGTACCAAATAGCACATCTTGAGTAAATCCCAACCAATTTAGGAAATAGTTCAGCTTCACCGCCTGGTTGTGCATTGTAACGAACGGACTCAGAGAAAATGTCTTCTTCAGCCGGGTGTACAAATACCTAAACAAAATGAAGGTTTAAGGTCCACAAATCTCCTTCAGTCACTTGAATAGCTTCTGTGTCGATCCAAGGACAATTCTCCTCACTGTTCACACTCAACATAGCTTCAAGGCCTGAAAAAGCTGAAATTATATGAAATCTTCAGTATCTTGATTTAGTTTAGCTTTGTTTTAAATCAAAAAATTGCTTGATCAAATTGTTTTACTAACTTCCAGCTTTCCCACTCATCCTGGCCAGATACTGTGCTTTTGTGTTGTTTCGATGATTGAAAGTGAAACAATTTCCCAGCGTCACATCATTCCATTTCAGCAGATCTTGCCTGAAATTTATTTGTCAACATTTACAACTGATCTTTGACTAGAAAAGAATTTGGTATTGAAGATTTTGACTCCAAATTCTTCGAACTTGAACTTTTTTTGGATTAACTCACTGTAAGTTCAATGTTCTCTCCTCATAGGCAACCCATTTGAACATGTCATTGTAGTCCCAACTCTTGTCACCTCTAGAAGACTTTTTGTCTTGATAAACCTTTCTTTTTCACCTTTCATCTTCTGTCTCTAACCCCAAAATGAACGGCACCATGTCTTTGATGTTCGTCGGATTGCTTACAAGGTCTTTTAGGAGCTGAAAAGGGGTAATTTGTGGAAGGCTAATTGAACTTCAAAGATTTGAAGTTAAAGAATTTAAATATCAAAGTAATAAAATACTTGAATAACATCATCGCTGACTGTGGCATCTTCACCGAAAATGAGACGAATCGCGTCGTAGACGATTACAGCTGGAAAATATTTACTTGTTGTTAGTATTGTTAATAGTGTCTTTGTAATAGTAGATCTGAATTTATTCGACCCACGAATGTCACAATATTTATTCGTGTAATCGGGCGAGCAGACACACGTGAAATCGTCGAATCCGTCAATGCATTTAGCCTGAATTTTGTTCATTTATTATACGTACAAGGTCTGGCTGGCACTCACAAACCGCTTTATCTGTTGCATTGCATTTATCGACTGGGCAATTGTCCGGATCTAGAAAACGGCTGTCTTAAATTTAAGGTTTTAAACCAACTCGTCTCGCATTTATCACCAAAAGTTCCCGGTTGACAGTCGCATTTCATCCATGGATACGTTGGAATGCCGAGTGGTCGATACTGAAATTGACTTACCTGATACTTGTTAGTTGACAAGTGACAAGTTGAGATCGTATTTTTTCAGCTTAAGTTTTAAAAAAATACAGTAAATCATAAGATAAAGAAACTGAGCTTTATTGAAAAGAGCCAGTAAGAGACCACTTGGTATCGCTAGAATCAGTTTTTTCCTCTAGTGCAACACTATCCTCATAAGTTCCCGTTATCACTCACATTCGAGCACGATCCACCCCAGAGGCACGGTTGTGGATTACAAAAATCAAAATATATGTCGCAATTCTGTCCCGTCCATCCAGCCTCACATGTGCACTCATACGTTGAATTGAAGCCATCTTTGTTGATTGAGCAATTACCATTAATACATGGATTCAAGCCTAACGAAGTCAGACACATGTTGGGAACTGAAAATGACAGATTTTGTGTTAATTAATCATAAATCATTAACTATTTAAAGCTTATGAGTTACGGTTAATCTTCAAAGCACTAACTACTGCAATCATCGCCCGTGTACCGACTGAGACATTCACATGTGAAGCCCGGGGAGTCACTCTTCTCGACACACATTCCACCATATTTGCATGGATAATCAGCTGGGTCGGCTGGTTGGCAATGCAATTGAACTGAGGTTGAATTAAAAGGGATTTCGTTCTCTTCTCTCACTATCACAATCTTGTCCAGTCCATCCGGCTTTACAGTCACATTCGTAGAAATTGAAACCGGTTGTGTTTCGGCAAACACTCCCGTGACATGGACTCGGGACACACGCTTGTTTAGCTAAAATTGGTTGAGTGAATAACTATAGTATATTGTTGTATACCGACAATGAACACAATAGCCTGTACCCCTTAAAACTTTGATTTCAACTTGACGTTCAGTGATGCTCCTCTTTAGCTATAGAACTACAGAACCTCCCCCTTAATTGTTGAAGTTTGCTTGCAGCAGAATGCTAGCAAAAGCTTAAAAAACAGCAAAATTGTGATTGCCGAATAAACAACAAGCAATGTTCGTTTCCACGCTTTCAACTCTACTCGCGTAAAGCACACGTTGGCCCTTGCCAATCTCGCGAGGCACAAACATGTTGTCCGAATTTCCTTTGTTCTCCCCACAAACACCACCATTTGAACAAGTAGTTGGTGTGCGGAAAGTAAAATCAACTAAAACATTTTGCTCCATTAATTAAAAGCTTCCTTATTACAAATATCCCCATAGTTGGCATGGTCCACGGGGGTTCTTTGCTGATGGTGAATAAGACATACCGCAGATCTCATTGGCACTAAACATAAACACAAATCTATATTGAAATTTCTGATCACCCACTTAGGGTAATCAGTTTCCCTTTTGGTGTAGCTTCTTGATTACATTTCGTTGCACAATCGTCCAACAGTGAATATTACCACCATCGGTTACAAAAGTTGTGCCCGATACCATTTCTTTCCAGCGAGCCTATATTAACATCGAAACTTAGTTTTTTGGTAATAAGGAATCATTGCTGTTATAGCCTAGGTCATAATCCATGATGTTAATGTTCTTAAATCACCTCCGGTATGACTTGGCACGTGGCACCATCAATGACCTCCGTTTGAAACATCAACTACTGCACCTAAAAAGAAAGCTTTTGATTCGCTTGATTCAATTGTCCACTAAAACCCACAAATGCATCTATATTGTACATAAACTTTGGCTTTTGTAAGCATATTGAATTGTGCATAGTAAATCTCCTGAGAAGGCGGCGGTTCTTTCCCCATATCTTCCACCGTGCTGTTCGTGTCCGCAGCCTTCATCTTGATGCACGGGTTGATCGTCGTGTCAGCATCTGAAATGTCTCAATGGCCCGGATTTTAAACAATAAACTCTAATCTCATTTTCAACTCGCTATCAATGTCGCTGTATCACATTTCTTCCCCTTGCCATCCACCGTGCAGTTGCGGTAGCTGAAAAGAAAAATGAAAGGCAAATTGGATTGATCCAACGATTTCTCTCCACTGAACAGCATACACAGGCTCCCGTTGACACGGGAATTGGTACAGATATTCTCATCTAAACTTAACTGATTGGAAATTAAAGATTACATGGAAGTTGATGCTGGCATATACTTGGACATTTGGACATAATATTTTATTGTTCGTTAATCTACGACAAATGGTTAAACATTCAGACCATTGACTTTATTTTGCATTCAAAAACACTATTTTATGCATACTAAATTCCAAATTATTCGAAATAGCTCACATTGACACCGTTCACCCATCCTATTCGTTCAACAATCACATTTGAAAGTGGTTGCAGTGAGTGGAGTGCATGAAAATTCACACCATTCCGACAGGGGCTCCGAATCACAAATTGTACTCTACTAAAAGTAGAGGAATATTTTGGAGTGTTTAATTTCAATTTTTGAAATTTGGATTTGCTTTTTTTCTTCACCTTACAAAATCTCACTTCGATTATTGGCGTCTAATTGATTAGATCAAAATTTGGGGCTTAGATCTTCAAACTTTCAATCCAATTTGTTTACATAAAGATAAATTTCATCATATCCAAGTTCTCCTCCCTTTATTCCCACCTTGTGTACAATCAGTTCCCGTCCATCCACTCTGACATTGACAATCATAATTGTTGATGTAATGGGTACATGCTGTTGGTCCCACCATTCCCTTACCCAATACACAACCAGGCAACAAACCATTTATTTGTGGTGTCTAAGATCCGATTTAATCGGATTTCTCATAAAAACAAACTCGATGCACAAGTATACGCCTTCTTCGTGTAAAAACATGGCTAGCAAGAGGTGGTCGGCCGTTCCATCGTTGCACAACTAAACACAAAGCTATTGTACCTGGTACCAACCTCACTATAAACTTCGCATTTTTGATTGAAAGCAAATTAGCTATTGTCCAAGTCAGAGGTCAGTTCTTCTCTCTAAACCAACTTACCCCACAATAATTTGGCCCGCAATCATAATACATGGTATTTGTTGTATCGTAGTTGTTGTCGATGCAGAGAGCATAATTGGGACAGCCAACTGGTGGTTTGGTTGGATGATCTGACCAGCTGTAAAGAACATTGATTTTATTGGATAAGACTCAAATTCTTGACCAAATTATATAAAGATGCTTAATCACATTTACAGGAAGCAAGTTGAAGATATCCTCATCACTTACATCCAGTAAATGTGTTACTAAGCACATCTCTTTCAATGTAGTTGGCTAATCGGTTAACATTTCTCAAAGTCACTTTAAGTAACCGGAAATCAAACTTTGAGTGCTCTAGGGGGTTTCAAAAAGTTTTCGTTAACTAACTCTAATTAGATTCGACTTCAAAATCAATCCTTACCATCAATTCAACCAATCTTTGAACGACTGTCAACGTATCAAATACAATTTTAATTCGCAAGTTGCACAAACCGAGCTCCGCAATCACTCACCCCAAAGCATTTGCCACTAAAATAATTAGAAGGAATAAATTTAATGCAAAGTGCATTAGAGTCGACTAAAAACCCGTTAAAAATGAGCTCTTCCTGATAGCTATAACCACTTTAAACGCCTCCTCCCCCCCCCCCTTGACCGTATTTGTAAAATTTAGAACACACTGTGCTCAAAGAGCGTATTTTTGTCTTTCTCCTTTTTTCAAAGACTCGAAGCGTGTACTTCTTCATTGTCTTTTTCTTTCCTTCTTTCAAAAAACCAGTGGGTGTTGGAAAATGACTCCACTCTACGCACAATCGTTTAAAGATTATCGTTTTTAAAAAAGAATTCAGTCAAAAATGGACATAAATAGGCAAAGGGATTGCACTCGAAAAGAGAAAACAAAGAATTTTCCGATTTCCTCATTTCCTCGTTTTTTCTCTCACCATGGCATTCACAAAATGGTCTTTCTTTGCCTCTTTCAGAGATTTTCGACCTTTTCGAAAACTAATGCATTATCCAGTCCACTTTTTCTAAACCGTTTCAATTTTGCAAAGCGACTGAACTTTTTTTTTCTGGGATAGAAATCAAAACTCAAAATGTAACATGAGGAAAACAATTTTACAATTACAAGACACCCATTTTGAATTTTGCCACAGAAAATATGTTAAAAAAATGGAAGTACGCCCATATTACCCAATACAGTAATACATTTTTGAATTTAAACAACATTCTATTCCCAGGGGGGTAAGGCGGTTGGAGTACAGGCCCTCTCCTTCCCCTGCTGGACCAAGCTAGGGCCGAGATTTTCAAAAAAACCGTCGTGAGATTTTGGCTATGGTTTTTATTTAAAACACTACTTTTATTTTTCAAATAAGCTATTCATGACACAAATTTACCACCAAAAGCATCAATCGATACTGGACCGCATTTATCAGCAGAAAAATTACAAATTTTGAATTGATAAAGTGTCTTCTTCGTTGTTCAAGTAATTCATTCCCATTTGATGGAGGACTACTCTCGAGGGATCTAAAAGTTTTCCAATCATTTAACTTAGTTCATTTGTGAACAACATTGTAAGTGAGATTTGAAGAAAAGTTACGAAAATGGCAAACAAAAATTTATCATAATCCTTTTAAATCTTCTGTAACATGTTCAGACTCGAAAAAAGCAAATGACCCCAATGCTCTCCGACAACTTCATTGTGGCAGAGGCATTTGCCTGGAGTTACTGTGTAGGTGAAAGTTGGAAGGCCACACAGAAGGGCCTCTAGCTCGCCATACCCTTCCAAATTCCACCTGTTATTTTTTTATTATTAAAGCCCGTTATTTTTCTGTTAGGTTCCTCTCGTTGGCAATAAGTTGTTGAATATTACCTAATCTGTTGATCTGTTAAAAAATTGACAGTGAAGCATTTTTACCGTGTCATAGTGAGCTCTCACGACAAGATCAGTTCGTTCGCCATCAACAGATTCAATGGACCGAATTCAGCTTTCGATGAGATCCTAAAGTTTTAGTAATTTTTCCAAGGATGATCCTAACTTTGTGCAATAATGGGCAAAAAGGGGGAAAGTGGAGGAGAAGAGAGGCGGATTTGAGGATTTCCGTTACATTTTCCATAAACCATAAAACGGGGAAAGAAAAACAAAAAGGAATTCTTGACGAGAAGTTCTTCTATAAAAAGTCACTTTATTTCTTGAGAACTCTCTAGTTTTCCACTTTTGAAACACTTTGAAAAATGGTCGTTGCTTTGATTACAGGTTTGTTGTAGTTACATATACACTCATGCACATATACTTGTATTACTTGGGTTAGCAGTTTTCATTGGCAATTTCTCACAAATTCAACAAATTACCGTATTTACCTGTATGAATGTAGCTTTATAAAGCTACCAATGGACTTGGAAAGTTAGGAACCAAGGGAGTCTATTTCCAAGGAGTCTATTTCGCAAGTCACCTTTCCTTCATAGCTTTCTTCATGAAGCTTTCTTGTTCATAGCTCAGCTTCCATTCATCAAAAGAGACTAAAAATTGGGTGCCATAAATGGACAATTCAATACTGACAATGTTCCAAAAGTTCCATAAAATAACATCGGTTAGCCTTTTGGGAAATCTCAAAAACTAAAACTCTTGTTGTGTGATGTGATCTCTAGATTGGAATCGACTGGCCTCAAACAAAAACCTCCTGCTGTAGCCTAGCCATTAGATCGGGATGGAAACTTAAAGCTAGGCAATGCATGCCCCAGTATCAGTATTAAAAATTATAAAAAAGCTATGGTTTCCTTCTTTGATGAAACAAAAAAACAAAGGGTGTTAGTAAGAATTAGTACTCAACCTAATAAATAGAAAAGGAAGGAAATAAGAAAACTACTCAAGGGAGATTAGCAAAAATTCTTCGGGTTTTGGCCATTTCGATCTCCACTCGGAAGACAAAGAAAGAATGTGTTGCAGGCTGGGCTCGTTGAGGATAAGTGACTTCAACTTTTGATTTATAGGTTAAAATTATATAAAAGTATTAAGAATTACATTCTTTTTGAATTAAAATTGTATTGTATTCAAATAACTCAATCTAGGTTGTGATCACTGTCGGTGATTTGATGTTGGCCGAAACGGCTGAGAAAGTCGTGAAGAACACAATTGAGTAAATTGGATCGATCGATGTTTTGGGTGAGTGGATTCACTTGGTTTTTTGCATCATAATATCTGTTTATGCAAAATAACTAAATCAATAAAGGCAATAAAGAACTAAAAGTTGTTTAATGTTCGTCCAGGTAAACAATACTGGTTTCCTCCATTTCGGAGCCATTTCAACGTCGACTATCGAAGATTTCGATAAGCAGATGAACTTGAACTTGAGGAGGTTTGGATTTAAACAACAAATAAGGTCAATAAATACTGAAAATGTACAAAAAACCGGTTTCAAATTTAGTCTTCATCAATTGACCCGTCTCGTCATTCCACCATATCTTGAAATCGAAGGGCAAACATCGTCAATGTGAGCAGTGCGGGGTTCGCAGATGCCAAGGAGTAGTGGAAATGAAATAATACAACGTCGACTCGGACACACAACCTTGTTGTGGACTTCAGTTGCACTTGAAACATCAATAAAACTATCAATTATAGGTTAATGTTTAACGTTTGATTGGATGAAAACCAATGCATGGTAATACGAGCACAAATTCTAAATGTTCAGCCACTATAATTGTATGTGAGTCTATGCTTTTTAATTTACACAAAAATCAGATCTTTTCAATTTTAGGTTCCAGGCTGTGTCTTCTATTGTATGTCAAAAGCAGCTCTTGATATGTACACAAAAAATGCTTGGCACTCGAGTTAGCACCACAAGGAAGTTTCTTCCGAGTTAACAGCATCAAGTGAGAGGGAATTGTTATGACTAGGTATTGCTTATCAATTAAGTTAGTGCAAAACTAAAATCTTGGACGTGATTTGCTCTAACTCTGAGTAAATAAAACCCAAATTTTAGCCCCGGATTGGTGATGACAGAGTTCTCAGTGAACGCCGGTTTCAGCTGGGGCCACTAATAAAAAAGAAGTGAGTTCTTTCTGAGTACAGTTGTTCAATAGGTTTTTTCTAAATCTCTGAGATAAAGCCTCGTTCTTTCAGCGATATAATCAACTCGGCGCCACAAACCCAATTGGACGAGCCGCTTCAACCGGAAGAGGTACTGGATTTGTATGAAAATGACATTTAGCGATTTAAGATTCTGAAATCTAAAATATAATAAAAATAAAAACATTTTTAGTATAAAATCCTATTTCAGATAGCCAAAACCCATCTGCACTTCTTGGCTAGCAAGAGCAGCGCCTTCACAACGGGAACAATAATGATCAGTGAGTGATGGAAGATTGTTGGGAACAGCTCCACAATTGAAATGATAACAAAAAAAAGAACCTCACTGTGGTAATCTGATGCTAGTCGAATTCAAATTTATGCGCTGTTTTAATATTTAATGGTTGTCCAACTCATGAGAAATAAAACAGTTTGGAGTATTTTATAAGTCAAATCATCTTTGGAAGTCTCCTTGAAAAACGAGACAGAAAGAACAAAAGAAACACAATAAGATCAGGCAAGTTAAAAAATAATTTAACTCATTCCTCCAGTCCATTCCAGATTTTCATCTGATTAACTGCAAGTGTTGTTTTAACATTGTATCTTCAGAACACCGAAAGAATGAGGAAACAAAGGGACTGGCTTATGTTTATCATCGATCATTTTCCATTCCTGGATCCAGTACACTTGTGTTTGGTGAGTGGGAAAAAGAATTGTCTTAGAAAAAAAATGAGCCACAAAGAATTTAAAACAAGCACACTTTATTGCAAAATGCTTATCAACAAAGGCATTCTCCATTCTAATTATGGAAGCAACATTTCTTTTCGTGATTTTCTGTCTGACGTTTACACTGTGAGGATTACAGTGCAATAGGCATGGCAATGCGAATTCCTACAGACTGATCGAAGCAAATGGTCCCACATCTTCTCGATTTTTGCACGGGTATTTTAACGCTCGGGCCAAAGGACAAGAACTTTCCTTGTTTATAGGCAATACAGCTTGATACAAATTTTATACAATCAAAAACTTGAGTAAAATGAAAATGTATACGTTTAGATTTCATCTTTTCCATCAAAACTTAGTCAACTTGACTGGTTTGTATGGTGGCTTTTTGAACAGGCAAAGCGGTACTGAGGCTTTTGTCCGTCTTTCACTAAATGCTAGAACACGTAAGTGGTGCTGAAAAATGAAATGACTACATTTGCCTAGCAAAGCTTCATTTTGGCTATTTTGCCAACGTTGACAAGTATAACAGTTTCTAATGACCAACCATTGCACTGTACAACATCCTTGCCACAGGGTTTTCGTCCACAAAAGAAATGAGCTCATCGGAGAAGTGACATAATTCGGCCCTAATCGCCACACCTGTCGCCGAACTAGCGCCGGCGACAAAATTCGTTGAATTATCTGAATGATGAGGGTATTACGGCCTGCTATCACCCTTTCTTGTAGATCTGCCGACATCGCTTTGCTATTGATAACTGGTGTCATCTTATTGCTTCAAGATATTATATAGCCAAACATTATCTAGCTTTGTTGTCCTATCAAAGCTGTTTATCATCCTCATTTTTTGTGACTACATTTGTTTCCTTTTCAGCTGTTTTTGGACCCAAGAATTTGTTAGCATAGCTCCCAATGCTCTATAATACTCAATACAAAACTGAAAACACATAGGCTAGGCCCGGCAGAGCCAACTTGTATCCTTTCCGGAGCTTTCGATCTGCTTTTTGAGAGCTCATTTGTTGTCGTCGCCCTCCCTGCAATTGTTGAACTCTCTGATACAGCATAATAAAAGAGAAGCCATCAAAGCAGGGCATCAAGTGGAAGAAAAATTGTTGGTGGTAGCACCTGACCAATAAAATCCCCTTAAATTTACTCAATCTCTTACTTCTGAGTGTAGTAAATCGTGGCCTCTCCACAGCCAATTCTCCAGCGAAGTAGAAGTTTCGCCTGTCGGGAAATAGGACGGCATGACAGCCAGCTGAAAATGAGGTCATTGGCCGAGAATGAAGTTGTAATTTTTTAAGTTTTGAGAGAATCTATTAGAGTAAACTTGCATTGTACAATAAAAAAATATTAAACATGAGTTTAGACCTGTTACTGGCAGCCCATAATTTTTTCTTATTTAATGCCTTTAACATTGAAAGCATTTTTGAATGGGGTTAAATGCTCAAAATCACATCTTGTGATTGAAAAACTGAGCACACAAGCTAGCCATTTGGCGATGTTTGCCTTACTCCAAAATTATTACTTTTAACTAACAGAATCATTTTATTGTTAATCTCAAACTTACGAAGCCCAAAAGCGATAAATGATGCAAGCGGACAGGCATCATCAACAAGTATTGAATGACCGCCGTTTTCTCGTATTTATGAGATGATAGACTCCATCAAAAGCAATCGCGAAGAAGCGATTCCATTCCAAGGAACAACTAAAGAATTGCGTTTTTAATAAAACAAGTAATATACGAACCTTTGGAAAATATTCCATGGGGAGAGCTGTATTGATACAAGATCACCGAAGAGATAATCGATAACTGGGAGCTGATAATTCAATCGCCTGAAAATTCTCTAGTGATTGATAGCCAATAATAATTAGAAAAAAATTGACGATCGCCTAATTTATCGAGGACCTGCATTGATTAGGGGAAGGGTCGGACACATGACAAAGATGACCTGGCTGCCAGCCAATCCTAGTGGTCTTTGCTCCTCAAACGGGTACGTTGTAAATGTGATTACATTGTTGTGCAAGTTAGAAATCTTTAAAAAGTGGAGCGAAGATTGATTATTTGAATCGGTGCACTGGAGTTGAATTTGCAGCTATCGAAAAGAAACCCACCAAATAGCACACAGGGCACCTTCCACAACAAATGACCAGCATTAACGTGGATCGTAATTGGAGAGATCGATTAGGGAAAGATAGTGTCCGACAATGCCTTAGGATTGAGATAAAAAGTATTATATTTGTTTAGGTATTTGAACAAAAAAGATGCATTCTACAAAAATGCTCCAATATTCAAATATAATACCTCGCAGAAAAGAGTTCCTCGACACGACGACGATTCCCGCGGACTTCAGCTGTTACTTCCGAGTGTGCCAAGCTGTAAAGCTCGGAATGGCTCATGGGTAATACCATTATTACGATTCAACTAGTCCCTCCTCAAGTTAAGTAATTTGACCTCAGTCGAAAAACATGCCGAAGTCAATCAATCAACCCAATCAATTGGGGGTAGTACGCAACATATTTTGAATAGTGTTTTCCGTTTGGTTAAAACGTGGGCGTCAGCCATGAGTGCAATGAATCAATAGAATATTTGAAAACGTTGCAAGTTAAAAAGTCATGACACAAAGTTGGAAGTTGTAAAGTGAGTTGTGAATAAAAAGAGTTGTGGAAGGTCAGGAAATTCGTTTGTAACTTTCCATCACCCAACAAATCGGCCTTTTAGTATGAACTCTGCTACCATGGATCGAGCTTTATTACAGTTCGTTTTGTAAACGTTTGTAGCTTTTTGGTGGCTGTAAATCTTTGTTCTTTGGAAAAGCAGTCTTTTCAGACTAACTCTATTGAATAGGTCGGTTTCAAAAAGTAAAACCACAAAGCTGTAGAAAAATCCCAACCCAGCATATCCAAAATGTGTTTCTTTTTTAAAAGCCTGATTGTGGATTAAACTGGTCCGGTGGTATTTAACGGCTCACCGACAACCCCAATCTTCAGAGTCCGTCTTTTCATTATTATCTGTGTCGTGCGCTGTGCTAATCCTCACCACCCACAAAATCTTGTTTTTTGAAAAACACAAAAGATGCTGTGAGGTTAGTTGTTGTTTGATTTCGAGATAAATATTTTGTCTTGTTTGAGACCAACTCTTACAAGATGCTACACTGGGCGAGTAATTCGATATGGGCGTTTGAAAAGTTTTTCGTAAAAGATCTAAAAGAGAGAATAATGAAAACTCACTCAATTTCTAGCAATTACTAGGAGGATAAAAATTGTTCCAGAATCATGATTTTGCTGTATTTTGATGAAACACAACATTGGTTTCAAAAATCTGACCTATGAAACTTAATCGCTGAGTTGTAAAGCCACTCTTATAGTGAGATTTGGTTCCACATTCCCAGACAAATAAAACACGATGAGATCGAATGAAATGGGTAATCTCCAACCTTTAGGTGTAATTTGCAAAATTCTTAAGGTTGTACACAAAAGTGCCAACAAACTATGAGTACACAAACTTAAAAATGAGCAATTTTGTTGTCCATATTTTCTTTGCTTCTCCTTGTTATCTCAGGTAAATCGAGGTGATTATCCAGATCATTTAAATGTGTTTTAGATCCTTTTTTCCATTTGGCTTTAGCTTTTTTCATTGGAAACACACCCTTTCTAGTGTACCAAATTGGTTTAGACGTTTTGGATCGAGTGCAAAGAATCCTGAAATCGAACGAAGAACGAATCGTTAGGTCTAAAAGTAATGACCATGATGTTGCAAATTGTTAAACAACGATAAACTTTTCAAGTTTTGCCCGATTCGAAAGATTTTTTATATAAAAAGAATTACAGCACAATATTTTGCAGCTACGGTCACAAATGAGCTTTCCAAAATCATTTGTTGTCACTAATTTGAACAAATAGAAAGAGTGCTTGTTTATGTTTTGTTTTTTAATTTTTTTCTCTCACAAAAAACTGTTTATCGTATGAATTTTTTGTACGAATGTGGTTTCCAAAGGTAAATTGATTTCATACGTAATTTTCTATGTTTCTAGAATGTTTTTTGTTTTTTACCGAAATAAACTCTTGTTTGCTCTTAATACAGATCATTAAACTGACCTCTTTCCGAAAAAGCTTCAGAAAAAGAGGAAAAGAGAGTGGAAAATTGTGCACTGTCCGGAAATTTGATGCTAGATAAGCCTCGAAAATTGGCTCAAAATCATTTCGAGAATGGAGTCTTGGCCAAGTTGGTTCAGCTAACGGTAATCTCTTTTTCGAATTGAAAGTATTCCAATGGTCAATGGTCTGAAAATTTCATTTTAGAACACTTTGAGATGTTTGAAATCAAAGAGGGTCAGGGGATTGTTTTTGCAGTAACCAGGTGACATTGGAAAATCCTAAGAATCACATCGACAAGTTGAATCTCGATGTACTTTTCATCGATTGTGGGAAATGGATTGATTTCAAGAAAAGTCTCACTTTCCTCTTGAGTCACCAATTTTCCAATCCCAATTGTGTCGTCGGTTTGCATGGCGAGAAACTGAAAGAATTCGGGTATGCCCCAAATTCTGAGACAGATCAAGAAAATTCTTCATGAAACAAAATGCAATCTGCGTTTTGGAGAACGACCATTTGACCGAAGATGAAATGGTTGGATTTGAGTGTTTTTTCAAAACTATGAATACCACTTTGAAGAGTAAATTTGAAATTTACGATTTTTAAAAAATAAAATACTCTAGTTAACAGCCAAAAATTCACTGAGTATAAGTTTACTTGAATAACTTGTAGTTTTAAGTCAATTTGAAATTAAAAAATGATAATGTTTTCTCAACTTTATCCTTTAAAATGGAAATTTTGAAATTTCAGAAACATCTTTAGGTCAGATTTTTGTTGGAGAAGCTTGACATTGAGGAGAAGGGAAACCACTTCTCAAAAGCTTCCCATCAAAAATTTCCTCGAGAATAAATTCTTCGAAAAAGATACACCAGAAGGGGAAAAGGCCACCGATTTGGTGTACGAGTTGGCGAATTCCTCGGATTTCGTCTCCCCACACCAATTCGGCCTCGATTCAGTGACACTTGTTTGTCTGTTTTTTTTGAATAAACATGTGGAACTGAATAACTTTACACCTAAATCTCCATTTTTGAGATGCAAAGTAGTCATAAAAAACTTCACGAGACCCAAAATCCTTGTTGATTTATTCATTTCAAAAGATATTAATCTATGTATTTTATTTGAACATTTGCTACAACTAAACTTTAAAACTGAAATTTTGCCCTAAAAATCTCTTTCGATTCCTAAAAAATAATGCCACTTTTGGTATTTGTGACCTTAAACTGTATTTGGCTTTCTGATTCATTTTTTTCTGATTAAAAACATGATTTCACCTCAAAAATTTGTCCACTCGGCACATAAATCGTGAAAATTTGGTAGATGAAATTTGCAGCTTTCCCTTGCTGGAACAGAGCTTTGAAATAAACTGGCACATCCAGCTACAGCGACATCACTCGAGATGGTTTTTTGATCGAAAGAGCTTTTTTCTGGTTTCTTCTCTCGAATATCAAGTAGTAATGGATGCTCCTGGATCTTTCATTTTCTGAAGATCGATTTGGATTTCTCAATCGAAAGATGAGATCGAGATTTTAGAAAGAGACTTGAAAAGTTCCCTGGGAGATCACCTCTTCGTCGAAGGCAGATTTCATAAATTTGAATTTTCACATCAATCGAGTCGTTTTTCTTCGCCGAAAACCGCTTTGTCAGAATCAGTTTTCGATTCGATTTGTTGTTTTGGGAGTAGCTTGGGGATTTCGGAATAGGGGAGCTGAGTTTAGGACGCATTTTTATAGTTCTGTGGTAATTTCGAGTAGGTGAATATCATATCTTCAGATCGTAGAAATGTTGATTTGGGGTAAGTTTCGAAATAGTAGGATCTTAGACGGATAGGAAATGTTAGGCGTTTAGGCGAATGTTAAAAATGCCCAAACGAATGTGCTTTATTTTTCGGGACAAGCTGCATCGGACATCGGACAAGCTGCAACTTCTCCTTCCATTTCTAAAGTGGGGAAAAAGTTGAAGCAATTCATCAAAGACAAACCGATTTATACATTATGCGCTGCTTTTGCTTAGTATTTGACTGGTGGTTTGGGAGGGTACTAAAGCAATTGGGACTAATTTTATATGAAAAGGAGTCACTGACATCATCATATGGATAATCATATTCCTAAGTGTGTAATTGTGTCATCTCTGTGTTCCCTTGGCATATTTTCGAGC